GAACTGCAGCGGTACCGCACCGCAAGGTTAAAAAGATTTTTATGAGCAAATAATTGTAGTTCTTGTATAGTGGCGCTTGTTAAACAGCTCAATCATAATTGAAGTGGTGCACCTGTTTAAAAAGCAATCCCAAGCTCGTCAATCTAACCCTCGCAAGGGAGATGAAAAAGCGAAAACAAACTTCACGAAAATTTAACGAATAGAGGAGCAGAAACAATGAAGAAGATATTGCAGGAGGAATCCTTACCGTGGCATTCCACTACCCTCTCTATATGTGCTTCCTTCTCGAGTGTATCAATATTTTGCGTATAGTTTCTCAGTAGTTGGTTGTTCACTTCTAATTGTCGAATAAACTTGTGAGAGATTGATGGTTCAAACTGTCCAGGGAAGATCTCCTTCAAATAGCTTGATTAGAAGATTCTGACTGTACCATAGCAAATTTTCAACTTACCATGGCAAAATCGTAAAATGGGGCTGGATCATGTATGAAATAACGGATGTCGAACATAGAAGTTGGATCAGGCAGCTCAGGAAACTCAACATGTAAACGAGCATATATACCTAGAGGACAACTTTCTAACTTTACCTCAAAAAATGCAACTTGTTAAAATAATATTACCGTCTTTACTACGAAAATCTGGTATTCCACAAGATACAGATACACCAGCGCCTGTTAACATCAGAATACGTTTCCGCGTTCTAAAATATTTTAAACGGCAAAGGTCCCAAAACTAGATACGAACTGCAAGCTGTAGATGAAAATCTTACCTGAAAAGCTCTACAGCATCTTCAAATGTGTTATATGCTGCAAGTTTCTCTCGCCGAGGAGGACGGTCAATAATCTCAGTAAGTATAGACATAATCTAAAAAAATTTCCCATGTAACAGTGCGATTTTGATGGTGTACAGTGCATTAATTGAAAGATTGCATTACTCACGATAAACTTATCCTCACGACAATTTGTAAAAAAAAGAGGAAGAAAGATGAAAAAAGAAAAATCCTAACCAAGTGATCCGACCATCCCTCCGGAGGTTCTTCTATGCCGGGGTATAATGTCTTGAGGACATCAATGAGACTAGCGCCTTCGCTCAACATAGCTTCCACTTTCAAGAACGCATCACATACATTCTAAAAATCTTGAAGTAGAAAAATCTGATACTTATAACAGAATGAGATACCGAAAAACAAAAGTTTCAGGAATGCTTCTAA